ATGGTTACGAGTTCAGTCCCAGGGACTGAGCTCATGCTGAAATAGTTAAGAGTAAAACTATTTTCCTTCATCTGAAAATTGTCAAATTTCACTTGAATAATCACTAAAATCCCCTAAATAAATTTCAAATGTTTTTCTTTTCAGTAAAACAATTTTTTTATGTTATTTTCTCTACCAGAATAGGGGTGGGTGCTATTTCACTTTTTTCCAAATATTAAAGTTTAGGTATTTTTTTTTTTATAATTTGTGAACCTAATCAGACTTGAACAATATGCACTTTCAAGACTGCAATATAAGGAAATTTAATGGTTTCTAACAAATTTTGGTATGCTTCTAATTACTGTTTAATATATACATATATTTCAGGTATCAGCTTTGAAACCAGTGAATTGCTATGCTTGTTTGACCATAGTTAAGTATAATTATTATTGTTCTAGTTAAGATATTGTAGATAATCAACATGACTATTTACGACCTGATACAGAAACAGCAACAGTAATATAATAATATTATACAAGTATGAAGGAATAATGTGCCACATGTGAGTCTGTTTATATTGTATAGTTTTGGTGTTGCTGCAGATAACTGACCATGGCTTATGTTTAAACTAGAGCCAGGAGAAAAAAAATGTTTGGGAGGCATAGACTTCTTTGAAGTTGATGAGCTATCCCAAGGAACAACAAAAAAGAACATAAAGTGATGCAGGGCAGACACAAAGATCTAGAGAGAATGCAGCAGATATGCTAGCATCTCTTCTGCAGGAGCACTGGCTGTTCTGCAATCTATATACAGTTTCCACTAAAAATATACAGAAGCACATACTCAAGCTTTATGAAGATTGTGTTAAACAGTATGGGAAGCTTACCAGAAGAGGCAGTTTGATCTCTGAGCAGTACCTACAATGGAATTCTAAGCAGGGGGAGCTTAAGAAGTAGGGAATTGAATAAAAAGAAATAGCCAACCTTGCCTTAGACAGGAGAAAGAATAAGGATTTGGAAAGTCTGAAAGCTATGGGTGGCCCCTTTACATCTTCCATGTAGTTAGATAAATACCTGGAATCAGAGGCAGATACCAACACAAAACTCATGAGGCTGTACTTAGAAATGAGGTATTCAAGGCACACTCTTTATCTCTGCCAAAAAATGGTGATATTTTTATACTGATGAAGGATCATAAGAAGCTCCCTTTTCAAACATATTCTGCATACTTAAAGCTGAATCTAGACAACATTATTGGAAAGGTTGAGGTCACGATAGAGGACCTATACAGAGCAATTGATGTCACTGGGCATCCTGAATGACACTTTGCAATTATTATAGTAATTAAATGTATCAGAGAACAAATTTGATGATGATGAGGTTAGTTTTATGTGTATTATTTGTTATATCAAAGCAGCAAACTGTATGATAACATTTTGGGGGCATTAAGTTTGGGGGCAGATTGCATTGAAACATTTGTGTGAATCATGTAAGCTATGTTACAGCATTTTAGATTTAGATTTAAAACATGACATTATTGAAGGAAAAACACAAGTATCTATATATTAAACTAAATTTAGTGCTACTGCAAACTTTTGGATAAATTTCATGTTCAATGAAATACATGTCTAAATATTCCAATAATTAGTCATTTTTTGGCATTTTTGATTGTGTCAATTTTCAGAGGTATTGTACAGGAGGTTATACTTTAATCAAAGTTTTGAAAAAATATTTTCCATCATTTTTTATCCATCTTAATATTTTGGAGGGGTAGAACATGAAGTTGGTATTAACACCCACCCCTAACCCTAACTTTATACAAGGTTGGTCAATTTCATTAACCTTGTAGCCACCAAAAAAAAAACTGAAACAAATCTAAATTACCCTTTTTTCTTTCTAATATGACTTCAAATTGTAATATGAGACTACATTTGTTTATCCTAAATGAAGTTAAACTCATAACAGTATATATCTATTTATACTTAAATGTTATTGTTTTATTGCCCTTTGAACTCTGTCTAACTACCATTCACACCATTACAAGCTGTAAATCACATGGTGAAAGTGCAGCTCACATTATGCTATCAAATTATGTTATGCACGAGTGTACCTCATGAAAAATTTATATTATTTATTTCACCTAATCTAACCTTAACTGACAAAAAAGTTTCTCATTTTTACATCTTATTTACTTTTATAATAACAAATAAAGAATACACATTAAAAACAAGAAATATAGTGCTTACCTGTGTCTTCTTTTTTTTTACTGTCAACTGCTGATTAAACATAACCCTACTTTTTTATACTAATAGTACTACTGCACTAAATAATTTATTTAATTAAATAATGGATCTAAGAATACAGAATAATAACACAAAAAAGCAGAAAATTCCTTAACTATCACAACTTTCTGGCTTTCTAACTATGCAATAAAAGGTGCTAAAAATTCAGCTAAGGTCATTGATGTGTTTCCCATGAGGCTTAAAGTTGACCTGGAAGTGAAATAAACAATTCTCTGTAGAGAAAACAGTGTAATATAATACATCATTTAGTAGATTAAAACTTTGGCTTTCTAATGGTTATAAATAATATAGTATTAAATGTCAGAGAAAACTGTTAGCAATTTGTGAAAGAGAGGATGTGACAAATGGGCATGACAAAAGGGGTCAAATTTTTTAACTTATGGCTCTGTATGTAAATATGATTGAAGGCTATAAAAATTATACTTTGCCCGAATATTTATAATATTATAATGAGTAATTTACATTTAGTTCCATACTACTGGGAGGGTTGGTAAATAAATTAGAGAAGAGGGAAGACCTAGAGAACAAATGTCACAATTCTCATACTAGGGGAAATTGAGGTTTTCTTTTGAATATTGCCTTATGAACTTAAAACTTATATTAAAATTTGAATTATTAGCTATGTTTTGATGCCAAGTTTATTTGTATACCAAGATAATAAAGTAGTTTAATTAAATGTTGAATGTAACTGAGTAAAACCTTGCGACATGATCCTAAAAGGATGCCACTATGGAAACAGTTAATAAAAATTAACAAGTCACATTCTTTTCAGTAATGTAGTTAGTTGTTTAGTCTTCAACTTACCAACTTGTTTTCACATTGTTTACTACCAGTGGGGCACACTTATTGCATCCTATTGAATAATTGTATGTTTTTATCTCTTATGACACTCAGTGTAAAGAACTGGTAAAAATATTGGGTGAATTAACGCTTTTTTTTTTCCCACTATACAGCAGTGTTTGTAAACCACTGGTCCGGCACAATCACATTACTGGTGTGTGGAATTGCACTAAAACAAACAAACAAAATAATTGACAGAATATTCATATATCAATCATAATATTTTTTTCATTGAATTTGCATTTTAGTGTCTGTGATAGTTAAGGGAGTCAATGAGTCTGTCCGGTATTGAAAAAGCTTGAGACACACTGCTACAAAAGACCATAGTACTGCTAGTTTGATTAATAGTTAAAGGTATTTTTTGTTTACATTTTTATGTGTGATTTATATGTAGTAAGAACCCTGTAACAAATAAAGTAATGGACCCAAAAGTAATTTAATGTAGAAATAATTTAGAAAAATTAATTAAGAAAGCCAATGAGATCCACATTGGTGATTTCAGGGTTAATATTATGAACACTGTTTATAATATATACATGTACACCTTACATCACCATACTCTTAATTTCTATCATTATACTGAGTGACAACAAAAAACAGATTAAGATCTTGCTGTGAAACTGGATCACAGAGAATATGATGTATACAGTATATGTACTTACCATGAAAAAGACAAGAGAAAAAATAACCGACAAGATTGTTCCTCCAATAAACATCAGATTGAGATAAAGGATAATAACACATCCTACTGAATGTAGAACTTCCAAACCTTAAGAAAAACAAAAAACAAAAAAATTATTTGAAGCTTACAATAGAAGCTGACAACTATTTTACTACAATTACTACTGAACTCAGTATACATATCATTTTGATTTAATAGTGAAATATAACATTCCTTAATTCTTAACATTTTAACATAAAATTATACAAATATGAATTGCTTGTCTTATATATGTGTGTTTTACTAAGAAATTGCCTAAAATTAAATTTAACATTAAACCTACTATCAAAGGATAGTTTTTGTTGTTACATTTTAACAAAGATAAGCTGTTTTTCAATGTTTAAGTCATGATTAACACCTTAAGCACCACAGCCAAGTTATCTTTTTCAAAACCACCAGACATGTTGCTAGATCTTCGAAATTCTAATATGATAGTTCTGCACATTGAATAAAACTAACAAACTAGGCAGAACACTAAAAGGCAAATGTATGTTATTAAAGATCCAATTTCTGGAACTTCAAAGGGTATGGTTTTGAATAAACAAAACAGAAATTCACTACATACTGTATTTACACAGGTATGTTAATATATTACTGGTGGGTTATAAAAAATAATTCAAATCAATGTATTTTATGATAAAATATGTCAAATTAGGCTTAACTCAAAAATGATACAGTATTCACAAGTTATTCATCTCAATTCTACATGAGGATTGTGTGTACTGTGATATGACCAGTCTAGTGGGAACTACATAGTTTTCTCAGGTAGCTTCAAAAAGCACACTTAGAATTCTCATAGAAGATCTAGGTACATGAAATTTCAAAAACACTACACTAGTATTACCATAATAAAGTTGATTATTTGCACAAAATTAAAATCTACAATTATAAACATTAGTTACATGAACAGAAAGTTTAATGTTTTTTCCTAATTTAATTAATTAAAAATTATCATATAATTGTGCTCCACTCTCAAATACTGTAAACAGAAGATTAGTCTCAATACCAGTTGTTACAATAACTTACTAAAGACACTAGTGATTCTCAGCAAAACCATCAACTTTTCACATGTTAGAAAAAAAATCAGTGCCACTTAATAGAATTCAGTTATGAAAAAAAAATTGTTATAAGTTCTATACTGGCAGTTTCTTTTGCTGATGATTTTGAAATTTTTTACACTGGACACAAACAAACAATCTTTTACTTATTTGGGGGGTTTATGTATAATTAATATGAGACTACAGAATAAGAGAAGGTAAGCTTTCCTGCCTGAGCAGTTTGCTGATTTATCTTACAATAACTTATTGACTCTTTCTGCATGGGTACCCTTTACTGCTCATGACACAAGGTCTTAGTGTCTTACATTCAAAAGTTTATTAAACTACTTTTTGTTTATGTTATACCAATTAGAATAGCATAAAATCTTAGCTAATAACCCATATTTTAATAGTATAAAAGCTTTAAGTTCTTAATTCCAAAAGGAAATACATAAAAAAACCTGAATTTCCACTAGTGTAACACACATTAAAAATTTTGTCTTAGCATGTCATCATCCCTATTTTATCCATCACCCCTCGAAAATGTACGAAATTCAATGTAAAATGCTCTCTATAAAATTGTTATTGCTCAAACAGACCATAATTTTTATGGCCTTCAATTTTGTTTTGTTACAGAGCTATCAAAGAGAAAATCAGACCCTTCTGCCACACCCACCTGTCACATCCTCTCTTTTACAATTGGTTGATAGTTCTCTCTTATGTTTCATTATATATTATTTATAAACAATAGAAAGTCAAGGTTTTCATCTATCAAATGGCGTTTTGTATATCATTGTGTTCTGAACAGATAAGTGTCAATGTCACTCGAGGTAGCAATTTCGTTCCTGTGGGAAAGTAAACGACTAGCTTGGATGAATTTGTAACGGCTTTTGACTCATAGTCAGAAAGCCAGGAAACTTTTTAGAAGTGAATTTGTCTACTTTTTGCATGTTATTAGTCTATATTCTTTGGTGTATTATTTAATTAAATAAAAATTGTTAAGTGCTTTAGTATAATCACTAAAAAAATCAGGCTTAACTCTCCTCGGCAATCAAGGGCAAGTAAAAAGATTGAGTAAGTACTTTATTTCTTGTTTTTCATATTTATTCATTATTTATTATTATAACAGTAACTAAAATTAAAAGTAAAGATCTTTTTATGTTATTTAAGACTAGAATAGGTAAAATAAATAACAAAAATATAATTAAAATTGCTCACGAAGCATGCACGTGAGCAGCTCATGGGTAATGTAATTCAATAGCGTAACGTGAGCTGCACATTCCTCGAGTGATTTACAACTTATGATGGTGCGGATAGCAGGTAGACATGGTTCATAGGGCAATAAAACAATAAAATTTAATTATAAATAGATATATAATGTTACGAACTTAGAGCTACATAGGATAAACGAATGTAGTTTCAGCTTACAATTTGAAGTCATACTAGAAAGAAAAGAAGATTAATTTAGGTTTATTTCGAATTTTTTTGGTTGAATTGACTTGATCCAATTTTGAGATCAGGGTAGAGAAAATAACATATAAACTATAAAGATTTTGTCAAAAAAAAAAACGTTTGAAATGCATTTAGGAGGTTTTAGGGATTATATAAAAAAAATTTCAGATTTTTGAGATGGCAAAAAGTATTTTTAATTTAACATGAAAATTACTTTGCACACAGACTATTCAAAACAAATACTCAATATATTCATGGACAAAACTTTATTTTATTTTATTAAAAGTACTTCACTAAGAAATATGACTTTTTGTACGTGAGAGACTTGTAATATTAACTGAAAGACTGCCAAGATATACACAATATATAGAGAACTATAAGTATTAAATTGATGTCAACTTTAAACGAGTACAGAAGGTCACGTGACTCGGTCAAATCGACCAACCCTGTGTCGAAAGATTTAAAGAAAAAGCTAAAAAAATTGAATGTAAGACACAAATATTTTTGTTTTTAATCTATTTAACACTTCTTAGAGATGCAAGAATTTCAAATCAAAGTCTAATCATTTTTAGTTCTAGACATAAAAGTTGTATTATTTGAAGCTAAATTCTGACTATGGATATAGAGAGCATGGCTTACTTGAAAACTGATAGGTAAGTATCAAATCAGGACTCAGATGATACTCAGAAGTTAATGTAATCACCATTAGCAGTTCTGCTTTTACTAATTTTACAATGAATTATGAACTATTAAATAAAAAGGAAAAACATCCATGTCACTGAAATAAGCATTATTTACCTGATTTGAACACCACATCACCTAAAGTAAAACTGATGACTATCAAACTAACTACACTTAGCAACATTGAACACAGCAGTAAAGTCTTGCATCAGGTGAGAAAGAGGATAAATACAAAAACAAGGGAATAAAATGTTTACAAATTTAGTAATCTCCTGATAAATCTTTATATATGTAGAATGTGATAATAATAAAGGAAATCTTACCATAGTTAAAGTATCCTACACTCAGTCCACACAGCATGAAGAATATATGTTGAAGAGATGGAGATTTGCCAAAGAGTAGATGTCGGTGACAGATTGCTAATGGATAACCTGAGAAGTAAAAAGTATTTATTACAAATTTAATCAATGTTGCAGCTGCACATTAAGAGAAATCATAACAAAAGACACTGATTAAAAAATGTGGATAATTTGTACATACATATGTGTAATAATAAGAATTTCTATAATCAAAGTCCAACTAAATAAACTTAAACTTAATTACAAAGTCAAATAAGAAAATCAGTAAATTTTAATTTACATGATATATTCAATACTTTATCATACACACAGAAACTTTATAAAATTGAAAATTGCATTAGCATAAAACAGTGATAATCTCATTTCCTTTTGAATAACAAAATATTAGCTTAGAATAATACAGTATAATAAAAAATAAAAGTTTAAGAATAAAAAATTTTCTATTTTTGCAAGTTCACACAGACATAACTGCAAACAAACAGATTTATTGTGGTTATACATATTGACATATATGCCTAACATGTTGCATCAATGTTTAAGTGTGGTTGAATAAAATTTGTATATATATATATATAAAGAGAGAGGGAAATTACATAAAAAGTGCAAGTTTAAATACTGTAAGTGATCAATCAGGTTTAGAAAATAGTTTCAATTCTAATAACACAGGTCTGCAAATTTAAACTTCATAAAATTTGATTTGGCTTTAATACTGGATTAATGGATTTTTCATAGTTCAACTATGCAGATTTCGAAAATAATTTTCATTTTTTTTTTTCTATCACGTACGGATTTTTTACAAATCAGGAAGAAAAAACACTTTTAGTTGAGATAAAATTATTATTTCGTTTACCACAATAAACATTTTTTATTATTATGTTTGTTCACAAAAATACAAACAAACTGAAAAAAAGCGAAGAACACTAATGTGAAACAAATATGCATCTCATTTTTTTGGAAAATGTAGGACTTTTAGTCTCAAAACTATGTGTTTTGGTCTTTCTTTTATGTATTGCGTTATGACATTTTGTGAAAAATCTGTACGTGATGGAGAAAAATGGAGATCATTTTCAGGTCCAGCACACAGGAATAACTGTGCAACATGCAGAAATTTCAAGTCAATAAAACCATCACAGGCCTGTTTAACCGTTCATCAGAATTAAGAAGGTTTCAACTAAAAAAAGAAATTTCATTAAAAAGCTTTTACAGATTTTTATTTTATTTTCCTTTACATAAGCTATACAATAACAACATCAGTTGTTATGGCATGTATGCATTTTACAAGCTGGTGAAAAATGATTACAAGTATTAAATAGCTTTCCAACCACTACTGTGTTTGTTGTATCCCAGCCAACCTGATGAGCTCTGGATTGATTGAAATGTGTTGTCAGCAATGGATATGACAAATATGGTGTGATTCAATTACTATTATTATACACTCTTTTAATTCTTGAAAATTTCTAATAGACTAGATTATGAATGTAGTGTTTAAC